CTCAATGTTAACAAAAATTTTAAATAATACAAAATTAAAAACGGTAAATTATATAAAATACATGTATAGTATAAAGTAGTTACGTGTTATTTGTTGAAATGCTTGCAAAAGTAGTCATTCTTTTAACAGTAATGGTATTTTGATAGTATTAATAAATACAAATTTTTTTTAGAGTGTTATGAGTATTCCATCTACTTGCTTAAAGGTTTAAATTTACGTATAAATGTTATTAGGTGCCAAGCTCTACCCTTGATTTGGCCTTTCTTTACTTATTTAATTCGAACATTCATAGTTTGTGCTATTCGATTTATAACATTCGATGTATGTCCCCACGGTACCAGTTCTCTTCACGTCCTATTTGGAGCAAGTGTATTTAATTTTAAAGTTAGATCATAAATAAGAGATAATATTATTCTTTTTGTATAATACACGAGTTATATATCGTGAGTAATAATTCGCATCTTTCCGAAAGAGTCCTTTCAAGAAGACCGCGCCACTTCCTAACAATGTAATTTACACACGAACGCATCTCTGTATGCACGTACGAAACACCTTCACTCCGACCAATTTCTATAGTGCATATAACATCACGGTGAAAGCCGCTGGCCTTTTGTTTTCGTCGATTAAGAACGCCCACTGCTATTTATATCACCACAATGTACGCAGCTACATCATACATGTTTCGCCGTAGTCGGCTCGTTCGAGATATCTTGTAATATCTCATAAATTTATACTCGTAGTGTCAGTCGGTCTTTAGCGAGACGGACTTTGCCGCTTCACAAAAGCAAATTAATTCCAATAAACTATATTTTAAATGAGACGTACCTTTAAATCAAATCATATACACCGATTTAATTTCATTCTAAATACAACACAAAAGATTATTACAAAGCGGATATTATGTATGAGATATGCGGGGTACAATATTATGTATGAGATATAATATCTCGCGGGAAACAATTAGATTTGATTTTGCGAGTACTTTGTTTATGATAAACCAGTGCAACGCACAACAAAAGTGATCACTTTTAGGGAATTAATTGAATTCTACGTCGGAAATATCAAGCATAGTAGTCTCTTTCAAGAGCACGCGTTCCGTGCTTTGATAGATCAATAAAAAGCGCTTTGTGCAATGAATCATTAAAGACGTTTTCCCATTCCTCCCACCGCCTTGAATAAAGAAGGCAACAGGTTTGACTCCCCGTATCTTTAGGATTGATAAAACCTTTGGATCTTTTCTTACGTGACATTTTCGTGACGTAACGTCTATTGATGCCGGTCACACGAAATGGGTGGAAGTAAAATCTCCCTGTAAAAGCGCTTTTTTTTATATCCTCCGTACGAGGAAACGCAATTTAATTTTGCTATCAATGCTTGTCAGAAAAACAATTTGTTCAACAAAAAGAGATCAATTACTTTTTAACGACATCAATTTAATTTAACATCGTAAATACTGACAAGATAAAATTATATAATTAGAAACGTTAAATAAAAAATATATTTTTAAATTTGTAATCGTAAAAATTAATACCCATAAATAAATGAGTGCGATATTCTTCGACGATAGCATAAACGGCAGAATACATTTGTATATTTATTTTTTATTTTTATCCATCTGTATGAATAAGATGTAGGTATATATATATATTTCGTTTAATACAAACTTTGATGCTAGATGAATGATAAGACGAAACGCAGATTTCTAAAGAGATTCGTGACGAAGAACATATTTACAAAGAGGATAAACAGAGGCAAGATTCCACTTTTAGAAATGAAAATGAAAAGGAAGAGTTTGGCAAACGGCTTACGAAGTTGAGGATTTTCAGTAAGCAGGAGTCTCCTTACTCTCCGTTCCCTATACAAATTTACAATCTGATATTAAGAAAGTTCAGTCATATAGAACTTGGTTTAACAGCCAAACCTCGTCTTGCGGTTCACCGTTCTGTTTGGTAAAATATATATGAACAATCTGCTGCAATAATAATAAAATAATTTGTTCCTACTCTATACATTCAAAAATTATTAAAATTTATGGAATTACAGATTAATCTAAATACAGATTAATCTAAAAACCAATAAATTCAATTTTAAAATCAAAATTACAATTATAAAAATATTTAATATGAAACGGCAAAAATAAACTTTTTTCCAATTTCTCGGGGGATCAAACTATAATTCTTTCGTTAAATTGGAACTACATTCTGATATCAAGATTTAGACATTTATATTAATACCAGTAGTAAATATTTCCTTTGATCATTGATCCATTTCTAACAGGGATTTTTCAAGGGGTTCTGGTCTTTCCCTAGTTACGCATCGTGCGTGATCGAAGAAGAATTACAAGTACTTTCTTTCTTCTCTCTTCTCCTCCCTTCTCTCTCCTCTCTATACGTAAAAAAACTAATGGAATCTGTTTGATCGCACGTAATCTGACGTAATTAAAATACAAGTATAGAGCCAAGCATACACAAAGGATCGAAGAATTAATCTAGAAAGACTTTTCTGATACTTTATCTGATAGTTTATCTGATAAGATAAAATCGAGTAATCTGTCGTAAAGTTGTTAGCAAATTAAATTGTCATTCATCATTATAAAAAAAAGCAAAATTTAAAATAAGGACACAAAGAGTACTTTATATCTTAAGATATATTCCATAGATATTCTGTCACAAAAATTATTATTTAAAAAATTATTAGTCAGTGTAAATTTCTCGTTATTTAAAAAATGTAATTTACTTTCAAGTATTTAAGTAAAAATGCTACACACATAGCTTTTAAAATTGTTTAAGCGAGCGAATACAATACGTTCGAATATATGAAAAAAGCTCTCTCTGAAAAAAAATTTTGTTTTCGAAGTGGCTCTGATGCTTTAAAACCAATTGCGAGGGATCGGAGAACTAATAAACGAAGTCCGTTTCACAACCGCGATCGATAGATCCGTAATTTTTACGGATTTTGGTGGATTTTAAATATACGCGGCATATATGACATATATTCCAAGTTGTAATCCGCTCGATCAACTGATTCTCTTTGTGGGATATGCAAAGCTCTTTAAAAGCATTAACGGCTGCAGGACAACTGTGCTGAATGTCAGCTCGCTCCCGACGGTGCATCTTCGAATTTTCTATATTCAAACGAGAACGTTCCCCGATTATATTTCATGGATTGTCATAAAAAGTACAAGCATTATCCCGAGGAATCGAAATTCGGTATTATTCGAGATTCTATCCGCGATATTTGGGATGCACAAAGAGAAATGGGCGTGCTCGCTTTCCCTTGTTCTTCCTTTCGATTACCGTTTGTTGTAAACGATATATTATATATGGTACATACGCGCTTGTCTCGCTATCCGGTTCGTAAACTTTATATACGGAAAATGTCGGCTATAACAATACAGCTGACTGCGTGTAAAAATTTGATAAAATATCAGATATCATTGGAAACGTGAGTGACAAAAGAGGTAAAAAATGTTTTATAAAACGCTCGATACGTAAAAGAGCGATCGTTATTCGTTACGTCTCTTATTATTCTAAAGAGCTTTACAGCTCTCCTTAAGAAGCTGAGAGATAAGATTTTTTATTTGCATCACGGAGTTTATGTAAATAATGATATAATGTTTCTACAGGCTTCATAATTTATGTTCCATAAAATTAAGCAACGGATTTTATCTGCGTTCCAGTCAAACAAGCACAAATCGCACTCTCAATATTCTTATCTATAATATATTTTTAATTCTTTTCAAGATATTTTTTTTTCTAAAAAAATCGCAATATATTTTAAATATTTTACGACAAGATTGTTCTCGCTCGCGCGAATTTTGATAGCAAGGATTTAATCGTTGTGGAATTAATCGTTATGGAAATTCTCAAAACTTGGATATTATAAGACCGCGATAAGGTGACGCGAAATTGAAATTTTGCAGGTGCATACTCCAAGTACATGCCAAACATTCCTTTATCCAAGTACGTTATAAACACGTTATTCGCTCAAAGTAATCACTGGCTTATTTCATCAAACTCGGCCGAAAGGTCAGTTCAGTAAAAGAAAATGCACATTGATTAAATTAAATGTTCCGCACCACTAAGCTTCATTATTTACAATTTCCAATTGAAACATATTATTGCTTCAATTGCGAAAATAGTAAAATTTATGTGAAAAATATTAAATATCAAGAAGTCACTTCGACTATCGAATATGGCCTACTCCGCTTAATGGTGTTAAACATTTCTCGGTCGATTTTCACGTAATATTTTATTGTTCAACTTTTCCGACTTGACTGAAACAAACAATCGCATCACGTTGCTCCAAAAATTTTAACGCAAAATACAATATATGTAATATATGTAAATTCAAAATATCTCTCTCCTAAATATGAATTTAAATATTAAATCTCTTTAAATGAATTTAAATGTTTCACTATATTCCGGAATCAATAATGTGAACAACATAGGATAATATACAATTTTTTATACAAACTCCGTAACCGTGTCCCATAAAATAGCTTTATTATAAGAATCGAAATAATATTCATAATAAATTTTATCAAGAAAATATGATTTAAACATAAATTTTAAGAGTCACAAAATTAAGAAAATAGATTATTATCAAAATGTTTATTAATTATCTTTACGTAAATTCCGTTTTACCTATGCCAGGATTAAAGAAATATTATGAACATTTATCTTTATGTTATTCTTTGTAACAAATATTGAAAACTTTAGCTAAATATTCTTTTGAAGGAAAATAACTCAAGAACTATACATAACTAAAAAAGAACGACAAATCTAAGCACATATTTCTGTATTGCAATTTCCAATATTCTTACAATCGATACTTCAACAAATTCTTTAATATATCCAAATTATTTTAAATCATCTATTCAATTTTTAAATAAAACAAAGAATAATTTTATGTTTTCAAGTTCGGTGCTACAGAGTATGCAAATACAATTATTTGCATCGCGGGAAGAAGGAAAGGCAAATTAGCGAGGAACTACTCACCACAGGCTGACGGATCTCGTTGACAATGGAAATGTAGAGGAATAAGCTCACGAGATAACTTTTGGTGAATCCCATCATCTTCTCGGAGGTGACAATCAGCCTCTCCGTCGCGACGCGGACTTCCAAATGTGAGTATCGCTCTTCAGAATGTGTTGCCTCTTATATAGGGTGCACTCCAGCCGGCGCAGGCGTTCTCACCCCCGAGTGTTCTCCTCGCCCCATAGCGCACCCACATACGACATACGTACGTACATACGTACGCGATCGTCGTGGCTGTCCTTTTTATTTTATTTTCTTTTATTTTGCCTCTCTTTCCTCGCAACACGGAGCATGGATCTCAGAGATGAGACAAGTCGCGAATTGTTCGCAAGGAAGGAAAAAGAGAAGAGACACAGCAGCAAGAGAGCATTTTTCGGGACTGTAACGCGGCTAATATTCACGTTTATTGCGTGTCGATGGGGAAAACTGTTTGATCGTGGCGTTGCACAAGCGTTGTAGCGGAGTAGTGCTCTTTACTGGAAAGTTACTATTCAATATATTCAATTACTGTCTTCTTTCAGTACTACAAAAAAAGCATAAAAATAAAAAGATAAATTATTACAATAGCCATAATCGCGCAATTTACATTACTCGAAATTGATTATTGAAAACGATATGATTCCAGTTCACCCCTCAAATAGCCGCGACAAAATAATCTCAAATAAAATTATATGAAATTATTGGATTATACCTGCAGCATTAGAATTATACTGGATCTTACTTTAAAATGCCAATTATAATTTGACGTAATTTAATTATATATTATATCATCAGATTTTACTTAATAATCATCTCATTATTGATTAGTATAAATGTAGTTAATTATCAGAAACAATAAGTAAAAAATAAATTAATTAATTAATTAAAAAAGAAAAAGAATCCTATTTTTGGATCCTAATATTTAATAATATCTATTCATATGTAAGTTTTTCAATTTAATTTGTCAAATTTAAAACGTAGTTATAAACCAAAGTTGAAAATAATATCACAAATTACATTGATTGTCAATTTAACAACGATGTTAATAAGCATATATCTTATTAAAACATTGCAAAGAATTTATTGCAAAAAATATCACTTCATCCGCAAGGTAATATATACTTTTTTATTCTTTGCAATGTTTTAAGATTAATTAATATCATTATTAAATTGAATTATTATAAATTGAAAAATGTATATATAAATATTATCAAGCATCAAGAGATCGGCTTCGACTAAAAATAGATTTCTTCCTCTTATTTAATCGAAAATAAGAAAACATTAAGGAGAATTCGCTATATACGTGTATGTATATATAACAAATTTTGTGTGTGTTTGTATATATATAATTTCAGATACCGTGAATTGTGTGAGAACCGAGGCGACTGGCCTTTTCTGAAATAGCATTGCCCTTTATTGAGTTGCTCTCGGTTTTTCTCGGATTTAATTCTGTCTCAATATATCGTTCACCGTTGCTTGAACTACGATAAGAATATCTTTTCCCGTTATTTATAAAATTAGTAATCTTCTAAAAATTCCAGTTATTTTTGTTCATTTTTACTCGATCTCTCTCTTTTTCTAAAAATTTATATTGCAATTCAGATTAAAAATACTATCTATTCAATAATGACGTCAATTAATGTCTCATTAATATAATATAAATAATTACGAGAGGAATAATTGCATAATTAGAAAGAAATAGAATATTCGATTTTCTAAGAATGACATCTGAACTATATATTATAACCACAAAAAAGATCGATTAATTTTTAATAAACTCCTTTTACATATAAATATATATATAAATAATACGAATAACGATAACATTTTTTCCCCGATATCGGCTGAAAACTAATTAGCCAATTTACATATAAAAATTTAGACAAACTATTTTTGTACGTGTATAATTAGAATATTCTCCAATATATACAACCTTTAAGCGAGAATATATTATTTTTTTAAGAATTTGCTCAAGGAGGGACAGAAGTAAAAAATAGAATACGAATAGAAATTCTCATTACAGGCTGTCGTTCGCGAAAGAACCAAGGGATTTGCAATAAGAACCGAGATATCACATAGTCTTATGACGTCCGTGGTATCGTATTTTGATACGAAATCTTTCGGGAATCAGAATTTCCGCTGTAATTGACCGTATATTTGTCACGTGAATACTACGAGATCGATATTCCGAATGCGAAATAAACAAGAAGCAAATAGTAAACTTGATCGCCATCGATATTCAAATGTAAGAAAATCGCACGCGATTTAAAATATTACAATAATTATTATCGATATAAAAAATTTTATTACGGCAGTCTCGTTCTAACATAGTATACATCAATATATATATATATGTATATAATTTATATTATATATATATAT